GGAAGAGAAGCATTATTGAAACACAGTAAGCAATTATATCTTGTTGACCCACTCTTGGTCACACCATTTTCATCATAACCAAGTATTCTGCCTTTTTTAATTGATGTCATGTTAAACCATGTACAGGAAGGTGTAGAAAAAAAAAAAAAAGATAACTAGAATTGTCATACAATATATAAATATCAAATAAGTCAGTTTGTCCATGATTAATCCATCAACCTATTTATGTGCAACTTAGTAGATTTGATTAAGTTGATCTCATAGATAACTAGACAAGAATAATCATTTTTGTCGAGATATTTAACACAGGTTTATCACAATAGGTATTTTTCTAGGCAGGATATCACATGGATTAGACAGCATATTTTCAAAACTTTTAATCTTAGTTTTTACAGATTCATCTTTAAACAAGAGAAGCTCCAGAAGGTAATTTTGAATCTAAACAGGGTGCCTGAATACAAAGACATTGTATTGACAAAAAATTCAAGATAATAGGAAACTTCTTATGAAATATACAGACTTCCTAGATACAAACTTTCTATGCAATTTAAAGACTTCCCAGGTACCACACGGTCTATATTATACAACTCGAGAAAATTATTTTTGGCCAACTAAACAACTTAAGATAATAGGGTAAATCCTTTCCCCTACCAATTCATGTTTTCAGATTCTGCACTGTTTTTCAATATCCACTGGGACACAGTGCCACAAGCAACTGGTCGGTGAGCTTCCTCTGTGCACTGCAAGGCCATATGCAAATCATATTTACTATGAAAGAATAAAGAATGGAGCCAAGGTTTCTTCAATGAACTGTTACAACTTATGGCAAGAATGGATAAACAATTCAAAGTGACTTACATTCCAGCAAAAGCCATAATTGCAGAGACAAGTAACATCATAGTTTCCACTCCCCATGATAAAATCCACAGCATAATCACATCCTGGTGCAGGACACCATTTTGTCTACAACACAACCAATGGAGAGAATATTATAAACATATTGTTAGAGTTCTACAAAACTGAAGGTGTGAAAAACTTCAAAAAATGTAAACAAATGAAGACTAATGTGGCCATATTCTATGTTGCTGGACTAGGAATCAAGCATACAAAGGCAGTTCCAATTTTTTAAAGTCACTATTTTCTGTGAGTTTAAAGATCTGACATATCCATACCTGATCTAAGGTGTTCATCAAACATTCAAAATAGATTCATCACTATAAGTGAAAATTCCAAATGGATTCATCACTATAAGTGAAAATTCCAAGCAACATAGAGTGTCTTAGCAACTTCATCGCTTACAATGAAAATAATAACAATTAATGAGAATTTATAAACAACAATCAGAATCATAGAGAGATTAATCTATTAAAAGCCTAAGGAAAATCAGAAGCCCCCCAATAAATCAATAACTCAAATTTCTTCAACTAAGACTTCACAAAAACACACTTAAAACGTAATTTTAATTCACCCCTGAAAAATAGATAACACGACACTGAGACAATAATTAAGGAATAGCCTGATAAACCATAGCATTGAGTTTGAAGCTTCAACTCTAGAAAAATATATCTTATTTAAAAGTTCATGCAATTAAACTTCTACATTTTTATCAAGAGACAGATAAACCGGCAGAGAGAGGGGAAAGTGCAACATTCTAATAACAAGTCGACAAATCACTTTGTCAAATATCTCAACACATTCTTACCTTCTTATTGTCTTCAATGTAAGATCTAATTAAGTAACGAGAATACTTTTTGATATCTTCATCAGAAACAAAGGCATTAATCATATCTTGACCAACAGCAGCACGACAGGGTGGATCAGGACATCGCAACATCAAACATCCAGGACCATCATTGATGGCTGTGCTAATATAACCTAAGGAGAAGAGGTATATGAATCAGAATCAGACATGGAAGATGCATTCAAAGAAACTAATAGCAATCAACTATCATATTTGTCCAAAATTTTCAAACTACATGCAAGTACTTTGTAATATCATATTATCATCATACACCCAAGTGAATGAGATATCATGAAGGATTGATGTCTGATAAACATAACAATTTTAATATAATGCAAAGAATCTAGTAGAACCATACTCCCAAATATAGATTCCTTAAATATCCAGAACTCCTCTAAAATTACAGATACAAATTCTGCTTTGTAGGCAATTTCAAGGGAAACATAAAAGCACTAAAACCAAACAGGAACATTGTTTCATGTTCCGAATATGACCATCAAAATCTTGGGAATTATAACAAACCTGTCCAGCATGATTCGCAAAAAGGATGACCACAGGCTGCAGCATGCAACGTATCACAAGGATAGGCATCAAAACATATCCCACAAGTCATCTGTCAAAAGAACACCCATGTTAAGACATTTACAAGTAAAAGTTAAAAAGTTCACTACGCCAACATCTGCATTCCTAACTTTTTATAAAAAAATTAAAAAAAAATGTCACATAATCAATTCTGCAACATACTTCTTTGCCATTTGGAAATCGAACAGTGGGCTTCTCCAATAAACCAACAGCTTTCCGTACATTCTCCTCATCTGCAAACCATTCTTCATGTACTCTATTGACATTCCTGTGATTTCAAATAAACATATTATTTGCATCGAATTTATGATCATCTGACTTTGATACACTCCCTTACTAAGTACCAACAAAAAAAGAGTCCACAATATTCAATGGAAAAACAAAAACAAATTAAATACCCCAGCTTTTATCAAAGTATATCTCACCAATTATAGTAGCGGAGTATGATAGCAGCTTCCACCTTTGAAAGGAAAAGCACTGTAGATATCGTCATGATATCATCCTCCTGACGCTGCCGAATTTCTGCTTCGTTCAAAACTGTATAATTTTGCTAAACAATGAAAACAGAAGAACTCAGAACATAAAAAATCGATTTATCAACTTCTAAATACACATAGGCAGGCATTAACATAATGGAAAAGCATGTCGAATTTCGATAAAAATCCTTCCTTTAGCACGAGCCCACACAATCAAAACCCAACTTAACCCAAAAAAAAACCCTAAAGAGCAGCACCTGGTGTCGATGGTAGACATTCTCATCAGAATCCTCAGAATTGTAGTCGACAAACCCATAATCGTCCCCATCGGCATCCAAATCATCGTACACAGCCATGCCGTCAGCTTCATCATCGGCTCCACCGTAGGAGCCGTCGTCTCCCGATTCGTTATTGTAGTCTTGTACATAGAAATCGTCCTCCAAATCCATTAGGCTGGAAAACGGAACGATCGAAGAATCAACGGAATTGGAAACCCTAGAAGGAATTATACAGTTAATAAATTATGAATTGGGTATGGAATTTTAAGTAGGTGGGAACGGCTGAGTTGAGAATGGGGACGGAGGAAGAAGAGGAATGGGGAAGCGTACAACCGAAACGTACTGAAGGAGAGGTAAAGGTCAAATCTAATTTCTGAGAATTGTGAATGAAGAGAAATGGGAACTGTCAATTAATTTAGAAGAAGGGAAAGAAATTAATAAATTGAGTCAGTTGGCCCTAGACTCCTATTACTACCTGTACAAGGAGTTTTCATTAAATTCCTTTCATGCAAGGGAGAGAAAAAGGGAAAATCAGACGCACCTGGCCTTCGGACCAAGTGGGTTTTGGTTCACTTTCAAGGTGCAGTTTTTTTAAGGTGCAGTCCCTTTCTTTTTTTTTTTGTGACTTTGAAGTTTGAATCTTATCTTTGTGACTTTGTTAAAAAAAAAAAAAATCAGACATTTTAATATTGTATTAGGGAAAATGATTTAAAAATAAATTTTTAAATTATTTTTTTATAATCTTAAATGTTATTTCAATAATTAATTTTTTATTTATTTAAAACTTATAATATTGAATATATCTCTTTTCGTTTAATAACGTGTAAAAATTATATAAAAATAA